TTGCTGTCCATCTTGTCTATATAACTGAAGACTTATCAATGTCCCTCAGTTGATGTGGGCTTTCATGTGCTGTGGGCTGGGTTATTTACCAGAATGTCTGTTTGAAATTATTCATATACATTCTAAAAGATCTAGAAGAGTGGGCATACCCAGATTCTTTCTATCTACAAATAACAACCCAACAACCATATATTTCATGGTTGATATACAATCACTTCATCCTGCTAGAATATTCCATGCTTTCTTTTGATTTGAAATGTAAGAAAAAAATAAGGCTGCACTCTAGCCAGTGTTCAGTAGCTTCCCTCCCTTCACTGGTTTTTGGAAGCGCTTAATCAGCCCTGGACTATGAGACACTCTTCTCAATTCACAGGTCACTATTTTTAGCCTCTTCAATGAATTATAGACATTTTGCTTACGCCACTGTGGTTCATTTTTCCAGAATAAAAACATACAAAATCTTACTAATCTATCATGCTGAGGTACGGGTTAGTTTAGTTGCTTCTTAAATAAATATTTTTACTTGTATTTCTTTTTTTCCCAAAACCAGGAACAAGCTCAGAAAAGCAAAACATCAGTGGTTAAAAATACCAACTGCCCAGGTGTGTGCATTGGGTTTTCTTTTACATTTGATGAGAAGCAGAGCCTTCTAATGAATTGTTATTTCAGAACCAGGTGAAAGGGATAATTCTGTTTTACCATCAGCTCTGTTAACCGAATATTGTTGACTGCAGCCTTTCCTAACCTGGCATCCCTTCCAGAGGTTTTCATTTTAAAAATCTGAGTCAAGACCTGTTGATGTCAGAAGCAAAGCTTAAATGAAATCCTTTTAACTGGAGATCATTTAGCCTTAGGCTTGAGATCTTGTACGGGTTATAGGACTTTAGCAGGTGTTCTATGATTCTTACAGCTATTTAGCATAAATCTTATAGCCTAGAATCGCCTTAATAAGATGGGTGGCATAGAAGTCTAATAATAAATAAATCCTATAGCATGTCTTTTAAAAAATTGCTTAGATTTATAAAGATCAAAGTGATGTCACTCCGCTTGTATTTCAGATGTTTAGATGTTTATGGAATAACATTAAGCTAAAAAATAAGGTAAAATTAAGGTACAGTCCAGAAGCTCAGGGGATCCCAGGTTATACAAATCGTGATAACTTTGATTCCTTAAGCAATCATTTTTCTGCATAGGCAACATGGCACTTTCATTGGGTCATACATGAAAATATAAACGTGAAAATACCAGCTTTTGCAAGGATTCCTGAAATGGATTCCTTGTTTAACCTGGGAACTGCCTGTGGAAATATGATGTTGTTTAAGTTGCAGAACTGAACTAAACTCATAGTCATGCCGTGCAAAGTGGCAAAATATCTGTTTCTTTTGGACCACTGGCTACATGTTCTGCTGGAGATCTGAATGACTCCAGAACCTTTTAACTGTTCCAGGTATTTTATTTTCTGCAACTTTCTTTAAACTTGTAGAATATAATCAGCTCTTCAAGTTGACCATTAATCGCAATCACAGAGGTTTTCGAAGAGCAATTCAAACCAAAGGAATCAAATTTGAGATTTTTCACAAAGGGTAAGTGTTCATGTCCAGGGGAGGGCAAATCAGTTAGTTGTATGAAACAGAACCAAAATGTTATGTTTGAAAAAAAGGGGGACACATTCTGTGACTATTGACTTTTGGAAGTTCGGCTGTGCGTCAAGGAAAACAGGCAGAGGATAATCTTTATGGTATAGTCAATCAAGAGTGGACAGTTAGATGGGTGGAATATACAGTTAATAACATAAAAAGAACTAAGGTGCTTGACATTGTTCTGAAAGGAATCCATCCCAACAAGCCAAGTTGTAAAATGTTTCCACCAAGTCCCAGCCCCTAGCTCTGTGTATGTGTGAAAGAGAGAAAGAGAATGTGAATGAGAGGGGGGGGGAGGAGGAAGGAAAGGGAAAGGACCGCTCATGTCTATTTCTCCTAACCCATTTGGCAGTAAACTGTGACCATTATTAGCATAAAACATGCAGTTGGTCAGCTTTCTTCTAGTTCCCTGTATTTTATAGCCATATTTGAGTCCAAAGAAATTAATGAACCAAAGATTGTCATTTCATGTCCTGAATGAGTATAGAATGTTGTTGCTGCTTCCCACCCCAGTTGTTATAGGAGCTTAATTCTGGTTTTGATTATTTCCTTTCCCCAGGTCCTTTTTCAGGAGTGACAAGCAAGTGGGAGCAGCACATTTGAAACTTGACAAATTGGAATCTGAATGTGAAATTAGAGAGATCGTTGAGGTACAGTGCCAAGCTTTTTGAACAGAACTATATTAAAATGTATTTTCTTTGTATCATTTTGTATTCTGAAGATATTCTATAAAATGGGATTTTTATCCTTGGCAGTTCATTGATAACGTTTTTCCTCATTCCCTTACATTGTCTTTGCCTATATGCTGATTCCAAAATAATTGGAGAATTTATCCATGTCTTTATGTGGACAAGAAAATCTATTGTAATTTTCAAATAATGTTTGTGTTGAGTGGCTTGGTACAAGAATGAAAGAATTATGTGCTAGCCAACATAGTTCACTTTCCTTAATCACATCATCTGCATATTTCTGTGCAAACTAAATGCAGAAGTTGACTAGAAAATCAAATCACAATCCATACTATATATAGAATTGGACATCTTAATGTGATACATTAGTAGATATTTTGTTTCCAAAAAAGATTTCTGATATAGTTGTTCATTAATCTGTAAAATGCTTTAGTGTGTTCAAAGCCATTTCAATTATCTTGGAATTTTGTTGTTTTGTTTCAATTATGTCTTTTCTGTCTTAAGGTTTTGGACAGTAGGAAGCCTACTGGAGGCAAACTAGAAGTAAAAGTAAGACTTAGGGAGCCACTTACTGGGCAAGATCTTCAGACAATTACAGAAAACTGGCTAGTCCTTGAACACTAATTCTGCTCAAGGTAGAAGTGTTTATCTTTTCTCTGTAACCCTATAGGTGGGTCCAGTCTTTTACTTGGAATAAGTGTTTTTCATATGCAGATCTGTAACTTCACTTTTTTTATTTAAAAATACTTTTAGCTTGTATGTTTTTATCATTTCTCTACTACTAAACTCTAAAAAACACCCAAGTAAATTATTCAAGTGGATCACTGCTATCCAACATCAAGCAGTGATAATGCAGTCAGATATATTGTTAGAGATACATGTAAGGAAGTAATTAAAATTTCCCACTACAAATAATTTTTATGGAATTGCTTTTGAATTGTATGGTGGAAAGTCAGCTATTTTTATTTACAGTCATAGGATATTTCTTTATTATTCTCTTATTTATAAAACTATGCTGACTTTTTCTTCCCTGCACCCACAGATCCAGGAATGCTAAAAGCTGCAGAATGGACTTTACATGGAGTTTCTGCAAGCACCAAAGATGTTCAGTGAATGCACTACTAAACATAACATCTTTATTTTCATAACTATCATATAGTATGAGTTGGTAAGCTTTGTAAGTCTACTACTAGGAATGAAGGTACTGATACACAAAGAGACTGACCTATTTTAACCTTTCTTGAGGCTAAAATTGTTGGTAATACATAAATGGTACTTGTTAATGTGACTGCTGACTTGAGCAAACAAAGGACATGTTGGTAAGTGTGGAGAAAAAAGTTTAATAAATAGCAGTATAATTAAGATACGATGCAGCTCCAGTGTTATATAACCTGCAATTAAGATGTGTTTCCGACCCATGGAATAAATGGATAGTCTTGTTTACTGAAGTGTAGGTTAAGCAGCTGTGATTGTATCTCTTTAAATTGCCTGCAATGAAGATATTAAGTTACTGTACATCTCTTCATATATGCATCCATGTTGCTCAAGTGTGACTAGAGCACAAAACTTTTCAAAGGGGAGCCTGTATCAAATGTGAGATAGTTAATAGTTCCTTTTTAAATTCTCATTTGTATTCCTTTTGCTCTTCTGTCAACCGAGGCGGGAGTAAAACTGTTTACTGTTTAATATCAAGATTTTGATCTTGCTTCAGCAAATACAGTAGATACAGAACAATTGGACTGAAAGTGCAAGACAATTGTTGCCTGCCCCCTAAATAGAACAAGCAACTAGGGATCCAAATTATCTTTCTTTTTCTCCAGTTTCATGGCTTCCAGCAAGGGAGTTGCAGAGGATTTCCACAATATGTGTGTGATTTCATACATACACTTAAGTCTGCCATGCAGCCAGCATTCATTTCTGTCTTAAATCAGTGGAGACAATGCAGCATTCTGTTGTAATTTTAATAAATTTAATATACAAAACTACATGTTGAAAATAAAAATATAATATGCAGTCTTTGCAGTGTTAACTGAATTTTAAAAGTACATTTTTTTTCTTTAAACAAGTACTCGGTTCTTAACAATATGATAATCTTAAAGTCATTTAAAGGCTGTGGTTGAAGCAAACCAGTCAATAGAATTTTGCACAAACATAGCCCAAACAAATGATTTTCTGCAGAGGGATGAAAAGTTCAACCTTTCTCCATTTGTCAATAACTTTAATGCAAAGCTAAGTTACTGAAAAGCTTGCTTCTATGGTGAAACTGGGATGCAGCTAATAAAGTAAGAATCTACAGCAGTTGTAAAGAGCAATTGTATTAACTTTGGCAATTCAGCCTGTAAAACAATGCTATTGCAGAGGAAAGCTTATAAGGAACTTGAGTTTATGTGCAAGGAAAAGAAAGAACAAGAAACTTAAAATTGCTTTGCAAGACCCTTGTTTTGCACATGATTTCACAGGTGCTCATTAATGTCTGTCCAATACCCTCTTGCGTGGCTATACATTGAACAACATATATAGGTGTAGCATTACATGACCTATTTATGGGGCTAACCTTTAATTGTTAGAAGATTCATTTTCTGTCCTTCAGTTCGAGGCTTTGATCTAATTCCCTTGTCATCTTTTCTGCTAGTTGCAGTTTAGCATCAGCTGTGTTATTTTTTTTTACAAATTTAAGGATGCAGAGGCAATTCATTCTAAAATGAAATCTACACATGTTCATGTATATGGCTATCTACAGAGAAAAATTAGTTATAGCTGCCACTGTTTTCCATACTTGAATTGCAATATAAATTTGCTAGTCCATTGTCTAATCTTCATTTAGTAAAAGGTCAGTCTTTTATCTCCTTGCACATGGATGATAACTACTCATTTGGATAGCACTGTCCAAATGATATCTGAATTTATTTTCTCAATCTTTTGACAACTTTCTGCTTGTTACTGTTTTCTCAGGAAATGTAGTGTTAACAGGAAAATGCTCACATTCTCTTGCTGACTGTCACTGCCAGCTTGATATGTTTTCGCAAGAAGATTCAACCTGCTTGTCTGCTCAGAGTTCAGTTCCAGTGAGGCAAGGTGCAAGCTTTCTAACTTGCAGCTAAAGCAAATCATGGAACAGTAGGCAAACTTGCTAGAATTCTCAGAGGATAGCTTTATATAGTGGTGCTACTATAAAGTGCAAGGTTAATGCTATGGACTGTTTAAATAGAATACACACCTATCAAACAAAATTAAAAAGTGTGTTCCTTTAAAAGAAGATCAGCTGAAAAGAACAGCAATTTCATGTAGTTGCTCATTTAAGATTGAAGAAACCTGCCAAAGGCATAAGACTTACTAAAGTGCAGAAAAGAAAAGAAAACTCTTACGGCAGATTTGCCAATTTCATTCTTAAATGAGACAAAAAAAAGAAAAAGGTAAAGCACATAAAATGCAAGCTTAATTTACATACAATTTTTGGAAAGATTTCTGCTTTGGGCAGATGTAAAAGGTATCTTCCTGATCTGTGTCTTTCTTTCTGAACCTCTCTGAAGAATAGCCCAGCATGTCCTGGAGGTACGCTGACCAATAAAGTGGTCACAATAATGTAAACAATATATTTTAAATGTCTAGAGAAATTAACCATAAACAGCAGTAGAATGAGGTCAGAATGGAGGTCTTGATTGTTTCTCCATAATAAGTTTATCTACAAAAATTACATGTTGACACATGTCTTTTCCTTATTCCCCAAGTGGTCTCTGCATTCTTTTGAGCATCAAAATACATGACTGCAATTGCCTTAAAACATGACCATTACTGGTTTCTATTTCTATTCATAACAGATGTGTGTTAGCTGCAAAGATAGCATAGCCATTTTTTGTAACATAGAAGCTGCCCTGATCCTGTTTGTTGACAAATGCATAGACAATTCAGAATTATGGAACAACTGTTCTCACCCACCCACCCCACCCAACCCCTCACAATAGTGTTAACTAAAAGCTTAATTTTCCAGTTTTAAAGTGCAAATGATTCAGATACAACTGCTGCTGGAACAGGTCTGAAAGAAAATGAAGTCCTTTTATGAGATGTTTTCCAGAATATAAAAAATAAGCTCCATTATAACTGGGCCCTCGCTCAGCTGGCATGCCCCTCCATGAATCACTGGAACTAAGGCACTGTCCAGATCATTCATGTACTGAACAGGCAGTGGCTGGCCATTGCTCCCAGCCTGGTAGCCAACCTAAAAAGAAAGAAAATAACATGCTTTTGAGCGGGTAGGACAAGAGCATCAAGAAACATTATTTATTTCACAATATTTAGAGATCAACCCAATCCTACAGGCTTTGGGTAGTTTATAGGTTAAGAAACAAGTGAAAGCAAAATAAAAATAAAATAGTTGCATAGATATTTATTGGGGGGGGGGGATGATTTTACTTATTGTCTGAAGCATCAGAATTTGGTCAGGAATAGTGAGCCTTTAGAAGAGATGTTCAAATTATAATACTGTATCAAAAATAAACTTTAGCTGAGTTTCCAGAAATATAATATTGTAGGCAAATGAAACTAAAGCATATCAATATTGAAAATGTGGGCTCTAAAGTGATAGCACTACCAAAAGAGATATACATCAAATAAAGAGGGAATAAAGAGTGTAGAAAAGCTGATGACATAGTTTCCTGTAGGCATCCTTGACTTATGACCACATTGGGACCGGAATTTCTGTCATTGAGCGGTGCAATTATGCGAGTCATTTAACAAGCGCGATCATTGCAAAAAAGATAGTAAAAATATGACTAATTTAGCTATCCCTTTTGTCATAGTGGTTAAGTCAATCATTGAGGTCATTAAATGAATCACACAGTCATTAAGTGAATCCAGCGTCCTTCATTGATTTTGCCAAAAGCTGGCTGCAAAGGTCACAAATGCCAATCACATGACCCTAGGACACTGCAATTGTCACAAAATCGTGCAGGTTGCCAAATGTCCTAATACAATCACATGACTGCAGGGACACTGTGACAATCATAAGTGTGAGAACCAATTTTAAGTCACTTTTTCCATCACTATTGAAACTTTGAATATTCTCTAAACAAACAATCATGTCAAAAACTACCTGTAAGTATTATAGACAAAAATTATTTCAGAAAGAGGCCTCAAAATTATGCATATCATGAATACAACATAATTAGAGGTGGAGTTACTAATATGGATATATACTCTAATTAAAGGCACTGGTCAGCTTCAAAGGGAGTTGGAATTGACACTGCACTGTATGCATTACTCATTATGGCGTCAAGCATATTAATATTTCTGTTATTCATTATAGGAATCATACTTTTATCATATTTCTGTGAAAGTCTGAAAAATGGTGCCACTGTTTTAAAGAATCCACTCATTAAAGTTAATGTGGGCCATAAACCAAAAGCAGGCAGAAGCCTAAAAAATTCAAGCTACTTTAATAAACATCAGAGAATTTTGGCATTTGTCCAAGGTCCAAAACTCTTCTGAAGCATTCTTAAAATATGTACAATTTTATTACTGATACTAGATCAATTATCTTTTGGTCCTGATCTTACAGTCTGCCTCATCCCTCTCCTCTAGCAAGGAACCTCCAGCGGATCCTATTCATTAAACAAATAACAAAAATTCTTTTATTCATGTGCTCATACCAAATCGGCAAAAAGAATTTCCTCCAGAATTGTTACTTACTTGATCAGTATCGAGTGTAACTCGTAGACCCAGCTTGGTCATTCCATCTTCTTTCAGCAGCTTCAGGTGTGGGCATAAGGCCAGGCAGAAAGCCTTAGCCACATTCTCAGTCAGTCTGCTGTGATCTGCTGGGTCACTCAGACCATTATGTTGGTCATCATTTTCCAAAAAGAAAACCTTAGCAAAAAAAGAAGTGTTCCATATGTCAGCCCCAATAAATACAATTTTTTATAATGCAGCATTACAACACTAGTTGTATATCGGAGTATATCGCTGTATATCAGTGATTGCATGACCTCTGTTGATGCCATATGCTAAATAAACAACAGCAATTTGGCAACTGAAAAACATTGACAATTTTTTAAAAATAATTCAGTTAATGGCAAGTGCAGTCTAAGAAATGAAATAAAGAGGACAGAGTAAATATGAGGCATCATGTAGTGAAATAAGATGACTCAAATGTCTTAATGTTAGAATAAAATCATTTTACTTATTTTTTATAGACATTGTGGCACATCAAGATAGCTTTCACAATGATAAATGAAAGCTTGCCTTTAAAAATAATTACATTTCTGTTCAAGGCATCTGTTCATACCATTAGTATTATGGAAGAAAAGAAATTAGAAGATAAACCTGTCTTTAAAAGTGACCTTAATAAAATTTTATAGCTGTAGTTATGATACACAAGTGTGCTTGCAGCCATTCCAAACCACACACAAATCATTTCTCATAAATAAATATTAAGAAGGAATTTGTTCACATTCAACTGTAGAATAATTGGTGGATTATGATGCAAAATCTCTATTTCTGATATCAAAGGAAGGGATTTTTCCATATAAGTATCTTTGTAAAATGTATTAATTTATTGTTGCAATTATGTACTATCTTTTTCTCTTCAAAGCTTAAGGCAGCATACATGGCGATATACCCTGATAATTATATGAAGCAGATTAAGCTGATAAAAGTCTACCTCACAATCAACCAATGAGCTGTGGTGGTGCAGTGGTTAGAATGCAATTCTGTAGACTACAATCATTGCTCACTCCAGGAGTTTGACTGGCTCAAGGGTGACTCAGCCTTCCATCCTTCCAAGGTCGATAAAATGAGGACCCAGATTGCTGGGGGCAATATGCTGGCTCTGTAAACCACTTAGAGAGGACTGTAAAGCGGTATATAAATCTAAGAGCTATTGCTACTGCTATCACGTAAGGACTTGAATGCGCATCTTCCAGGTCAAGTCCAACATATTAACTACAACACTGCACTGGCTCTCATATATATGAGTTATGATCACATAATAGTAAAGATTCTAGCTGTTACATACAAAGCAATGTGATTTCCTCACCTCTGTCCACCTAATGACCTTCCCATTTGCTTTATATTCTGATCCATGGAATATCTTCACACTTATTATAGACTCCATAGATTTCCCATCAATAGGACTTACAACACTAGAATGTGGAAGGAAGAGACAGCTCTATTAGCAGTAGGACTTAATACATTGCTTTAAGTCCTGTCTTCATATGCTTAAGTAATTATCAATGCTGGTCCAATTTAAAAAACAATGTAAAACACTAGATCTCTATCAAGATAAATTAATATAAAAGAATAATGAAGCGTAATGAAATAGCAGTTAAAACATGCTACATATTTATAATAGCTTATCTGAAGTATCACCAGACAGTTTTTACGTGAAACAACTTTCATCCAAGCACCCATTTCTGGTCATGCAAATGTGGTCTTAAAGTGCTTAAACATATATTATAGAAGCGCCAAAAACCATCCACACAACTGTTAAAAGCATGGTTGTATCTCTGCTGTATATGAGAAATTCTCTGAGAGAATCTTTAACAACGTCTTGGCTATTCTAGTTTAAACCCTCCCTCCCCCAACACACACATATACACACAAAATATATGTACTATAGATTAGTAAATGAAGCTACTGGCTTTGAATGTAGGCTTTAAACATGGACAGTATATGAAATGTCATATAAGAAACATTATCTAAGTTAATCTAAATATTCCAACGAGCATGCCCTATCAGGAAACACAACTCCTCTGGCTGGGTAAAAAAACAAAACAAAAACAGGTTAGTACACACTATTCAGACATTCCTACTATCCAATTTATTTCTCCTTTTGGCTATGCAGGAAGTAGCATTATGTACAGGCAGATTCCTGTTGGTTCACATGATAATTATAACTCAGCATTATATGTGAAGCAATTCAATAAAACCAAATAAAACAAAAAGTTGTTAAGGTACCCTTTGTTGAAGTTTTTATCATCATCCACCCACTGAATATGCACATGTTCTTGAGGTTCTTCAGCATCCATTTTTCCACAAGAAATTGTAAAGTCTTTCATCTCCCTCAGAGCTTGCCTCAGGGAGTCCATATTTTCAGCTGTTATCTGTACCATCACACCATCTACATATGAAAAGATAAGCACTTAACAAAATTCCACCAATATATTGTTGGAATGGCATGTAAAGTATGAAAAAGGAGAGCCTAATATCCTGACTTTCACAAATGTCATGTAGTACCGTGTTTCCCCTAAAATAAGACCCTGTCTTATATTTTTTTGAACCCTGAAATAAGCGCTTGGCCTTATTGCCATGTGCTCAAAAGCCCGATTGGGTTTATTATCAGGGAATGTCTTATTTTGGGGGAAACGGTATTATACAGATGGAGAACCAGTTTGGCATGGTGGTTAAGGTATCAGGCTAGAAAGTGGGACCTCACGTGTTGAATTTGCGTAAAAAACATTAAAGAACATTAAAAATTAAGAACAATAAATAGGCTATATTAATTTCTATTATTACCTGAATCTACTCTTAAGCTTTATATTCATCTTTAAAGAAATGGCAGATTTGGTAAAGTAAGAATAATGCAGAATTTTAAAATATATTTAATCCTTCATTAAGCAATTGTTTGTCTAAAATCAGTCTTTTTTATAGAGTAAGACTTTGATTTTAGACAAATAATTTCTTAATATATCTTTTATATTAAAATATCTTTTATAGAGTCATTAGTGACCATTTACATCTATTTTTGTGAACCTGAAATAGTATCCATGCCTCTAATATAGTACTATACACTTTGACAAGAATTTGAAAGCTGAACTGGATTAGACTCTAGAAAAACATCATTCTACAGGGGTGGTTAAAAAAAATAGTGTGTAATCTGTAAACCTTTATCATTGTGCAATTGTTAATTGTTATTTTTTATTTTTTTATTTTTTATTAAATTTCTATACCGCCCTTCTCCCGAAGGACTCAGGGCAGTGAACAGCCAGAAAATAAAACACAGGAAATACAAAATCTAAAATAAATTAAAACAAATTAAATAATTTAGGCTGAATTTTAAAATACCCCATAATTAAACAGATTAAAAATTTATGTTTAAAATTTAAATTTAAAAGAGGAGATGATTTAGGCCAGGCCAGCTTGATGAAATAAAAACGTTTTAAGCGCGCGACGGAAGGTGCGAAGATCCGGGATCCTCCGTATCTCCGTGGGGAGCTTGTTCCAGATCGTAGGTGCCCCCACAGAGAAGGCTCCCCCCTGGGGGCCGCCAGCCGACATTGTTTGGCCGAGGAGCCCCTCTCTATGGGAGCCTACTGGCCGGTGGGAGGCTATTGGTGGTAGCAGGCGGTCCCGTAGATAACCAGGTCCTAAGCCATGGAGCGCTTTAAAGGTAGGTATTGGCTTGCTTTTTTATGAAACCTGTTTTGCAAAGTAGTTTACTTATACTTTTATAAATAAACAAATAAAGGACAGAAATCTTACCTTCTACAATACTGGACTTTGCAAGATAGCCTGAAGATGATTTTAAAGCTCCACTAAATACAAAGAAGCTGGCTCCAGTCACTGCAACAATGAGACAGAGTAAAATGTAAATATAAAACGTCCATTTAATTTAATACCAAAACAATGAACAATCCAAACAAAAAATAAATTATGCAACTACTATGTTTAAACAAAAATATAAACTACATATTTTAGGCAAACGGAAATGTTATGGGAAATTTGAGAGTTAAAGGATACTTGATCACAATTAATTCATTTTACATTCTGTTTTGCAAGATCTACATTTATTATTGTGTTCTCCACTCCATACCGAAAGGTTTTTGTAGTGTTGAAGAACTTACTAGTTTGGGTCATGAACCCACATGCAAAAATTTGCTCAGAGAAAGACTACAAAAAAATAATACACAAACTTATAAATTCTATTAGAGAAAGATAGCACAAGTCTTATTCTGGCAAGTTTAACAAATGGTCCTTAATGATGCTTTAATTTTAAGACAACAGGAAACAAACAGAATTAGTGTAGTACCAAAATTCAACAAACGTAAAGTCCAATGCCAAAATTCCAACATCAAGAAATAATTGAAGTCTGATGACTGATTTAAGAACCTGCAAATTTTGCCTTTGTATTTCATATACTTACGAAAATAAAGATCAATAGCAGCTTTTAAAACTAAAGAAAATAATTCAAGAAATCAGCATTTATATAGAAAACATTGTCAACAACTCTCACCCTTCCTTGGTTGATTATGAATACTGATGGCCTGAGTCTGATAGTTGCCATCATCATTCTGCACACAAACCAGATGGGAGTCTGCTCTCTCATTGAAGCATGCACCACCTGCTAAAACATGCTCATTGGATTTGTTCATGGCTTTCATCATCTGCAACAAACGCCCAAAATAGAGCATCTGCCATTAATGTGTAATATGGGCTGTGACTTCAAGACAAACATTTTAATACTTTGGACAATATCTCCCCAGGATTATTCCTTGAGGACAACATATACAGTATTGAATTATTATAAATCCTTTAGAATTTTTCATAATCTTGATCTACAAAGTTCTATAATGTGATCAGCGCTTCATCTAAATACTACTGGATGCTGGTTAAACAAACAACATCCAAATCCCTGACCCACATCTTCCCCTTTGATGAATAACCTGAGCCACATTCATTTTCTTCGTTGGATAAAGTATATGAATAGAAGATAATCAGCTCTCTTACAAAGGATGAATTGGTTAAATGTTCCAATCAGATGGCTATCCGATGCGAGACACCGAATGAGAGGTCTCACAATTAGAGTTTACTCTTCATGAAATAGGTTTGTGGAAGTGAATCATTGATTAAAAGAGATTTCTGCAAACTTCAAAAAAGTGTCATCAGTGCTCACAAGGTCGAAATGGCAGTAGTATCACCGCCAGAGGCTTTGCCCTTTCTTGATCCATATTCAAGCAACAAAACACTGCTTTCTAACAATAGAACATCATACCAACCATAATGCATGGTGATGAAAATAAAATTGCTAGTAATCAAGAGAAACAATGGAGTCTAGATTGTATCTGCAATTTCTACAGAATATGACTTTATCTTATCCATTGATAAGATAAAGTTTAAATACATGTGAGTCATACAGAAATGCTACAATCTTAAATGCATGAGTAAATTTACACTAAAATGTAATGTCCAGGCACAAGAAATTTCACACTTTGGAATGATTGACCTTAACCAATTTGAAATACTATAGCATGAACTGAAGTGAATAATTCATGCAATATAACCCACAAATACCAATGACTTGAAGCAGCAAAGAATAATACTGTAGGTCTAACTACCTCCAAGCTGAGCTAATGTGTAAAACTGATCAATAGGCATGGAAAACATTTGGCTGAAATTGTTGTGGCAAAAAAAGATGCCACTATTCACTAATTCTAAGCTTCACGTACTTTCTCCCACACGAATATAGTGAATGGTGGTTCAATGTGTGACATGACATGGCAATTAAACAGAGCTTAAATATTCAGATTACATTAAGGGATACAGTAATATGGGATTATAGATAAACAGTAAACAGTTCACAAATTTAATGCACCATTGGAAACCCTTCGCAAAATTATGTCAAAGGTAATGCTAAATTATTTTTAGATATTTTTCTCCAACCGTCTTTAAAACACAAATAATATTAATTATTTGGTAGTATATTTATCAGGTAAATTAATTAAAAAAGGATTTACTTATAAAGCATAGTAAAATAAGTCATTTTTTAAAACAAGCACTTAGACAACAGTAATATCAATAAGAATCTCATTTAATAAAACTATCTTTGTAGTGGATTTCAAAACTGAGTGTATTCTATCTATGCCACATACCTCATTATATCTGTTACTGGGAATTTTTATGCTTGTTTTCCTGACTTCCATATCAACCACTAAGCCTTGGACAACTGGTAATGTATACTGGTAATTCCTGAAGTCCTGGCACACAAAGAATAACCAAAATCATGATAGCTACTGATCATAATTAAACTTTAAGTTTTCATATATTTTGAATTGATACAGAAATATTTTAATAACATGCTGCATTAATTTCTGCTGTAATAACTACCATCTTATTATTCTGTAAAGAATAACAAAGCATACAGTTGATTTCAGAGGCAATATGAAAAATCAAAGATATATAAATGATAACAAGTAGTTTCCAGTGAGATACTTTCTTAAATGACAACTGTACAACAGAATTAAATTAAAATATTGACCTGATGAGTGAAACAAGATGCCTCTTGCTTAGTTGATAGTAGGAAGATAGTACCCATATGACTAGCTATTATCTCCCGCCCAACCTTCCTTCCAAAATTCTTGCTTCCGGAAGACTGAGAATACACTATTTGTTTAGCATTAATGCACTTACATTATATTATTTTGGTTCCAGAAAGCAACAGTTTTATTTAGGCAACATACCTATATCTTCTGAATTTAGAAATACCATTAAAAATTTCTTCATTTATTTACATCTCTACATGAGTGTATCTAATATGAGCAGTATATCTATAGCTAAATGAAAATACAATTCAAATCTTAAGATATGTTTAAGGTCACATATTTAGTAATATATACACAAATAAAAGAAAAATCCCGTAATCTAATTCTGGAACTTCGTGTATGTAATTGTGTATGTAAATGAGAATACCAAAACATACACAGTTTCTTTATTAAATATGACAGAGCAAATGAAAAACAAATCCTTGTAATTATTACTTACCGCAAGAAGATTCATAATTGTGTGACCAGTCTCACCAAACAATGGCTTACGAAATCTGACACTGAAAAGTGGACATGGATACACTAAAAAGAAACCCCAAAAAAATTCAGATTTATTTTCTGAAATGTTTACTTAAACAGTTTTGTATATATTGCTACAAAAGTAGATAAAGGTAAAGATAAAGGTTCCCCTCACACATATGTGCTAGTCGTTCCCGACTCTAGGGGGCAGTGCTCATCTGTTTCAAAGCCGAAGAGCCAGTGCTGTCTGAAAACGTCTCCGTAGTCATGTGGCTGCCATGACTACAGAGTTAGTTGGCATGATTAAACACCAAAGGCGCATGGAACACTGTTACCTTCCCACCAAAGATGGTCCCTATTTTTCTACTTGCATTTTTTATGTGATTTCGAACTGCTAGATTGGCAGAAGTTGGGACAAGTAATGAGAGCTCACCCCATTATGCAGCACTACAGATTCAAACTGCCGACATTTCAATCGACAAGCTCAGCATCTTAGCCAGAACCACAGTGTCCCCCTTTACCTATATTATCACATGTAAATAGGCAACTGGAATCTTTATATCATTTTAGTGCCCCATTAATCAAGAACTTTTATTAAACAAATGTGCCTTGTGCCGAGTTAAAACACCAAAGGTACATTGGGTTAAAATATCAGTTTTTTCCAGCAGAACTTGCTATGTATTTATTTACACAGAGCAACTGCAAATAAGTACCAGTCTTTCTATCGATATTTAATAATTTAGTTGACTTAAATTTCATTTGCCTCTTCAATAAGTACACATACAACACTGAGCAAAGGCCTATATTCCCTATATTCATTAAGAAATATGCTACTAATATAGTTGATTCTATAACTGAATTTGCCTTGTTGTAATTCTTATGTGTAATAAATAATAAATAAATAAATAATAAATGTGTAATAAGGACACAAAGAAAAAACATGCAATATTATTTATTTACAAACTTAAAAAGATTTTTAGTGAAATAATAATTAAAGTTCTTAGATTCAAGTCAAGAAGAAAAAACAAAACCTATGTTCACATAGTATGTTAAGATCTAATGATTAACTTACAATTTGCCTTACTCTGTTTTGCTGAATAAGGTATCATTTGCTGGATTCACACATCAAGCTAAGCCATAAAACCACACTGTACAAACCACATGGCTTAGTTCACAGAACATATTATGCAAGCACATTGTATTATAGCTTAATTTGATGTTGGAACCACACCTGGTTCCCTTTATATGAACAAAATAAACTCCTTTCATAGAATAGAGTCAAAATAAAAAACTATAAAAACAAAAGTGTTACCACCCAAAAGAGACTCAAATTCTTCTCTGTGTCATTCCATAGGTTTTTCCAAAGTAGTATAAGAAATATTTCTAATTTTTTGAAAAATAGGACTTACATCTGTATTCAGCTCCGAGTCTTAGCATGAGTCGGATTGGAAAGACTTTAGCCCAAGGAGTCTCCCATTTCTGGATAAGAATCCCAAATAAATATGGTGGGGTGGGAAGCACCAAGTCCTGCAGTGACTGATACGCAGGTGTAACATATAGGAAACCACCATGCTCCTTGCTACTAAGGAAATTCTGACTGAAAAATGAGTGTCCTAAGTTGCTCACAACATTTCCTACAAAACCAAAAGTATGGTTACTTTAGCAGTACATCTACCATCAAAACAGAAAATTGCATATAATCCTTATTCTACTAATAATCAAAAAACAAAATGAATTATTTAATGTTAAAACAGACTAATATTACATTTTAATTAACATACTAAAGCAAAAGCAAATCAGTCTATTATTCACTTAACATTGCAACACTTAACATATCGTTTGAATTCCAAAACAATATTACTCCAAAAAGGTTATTCGTGTATCTAGAAGACTGACAGCTGAAACTGGAATCCGAGCATCTTAGTATTTAGGAAAAGTATAAAAATAAAATATATGAATTACGCATGCTTAGGTTATGAATAAATTCATTAAACTTCTCAAGCTCTCCTGCTTTAGTTATCACCCTTAATTATTATTTCTAATAATCCATTAACATACAAGTCTAGCCCGACACTTAATAAGCTGGAAAACAAGAACTTCCACATAGTGAAGTATACTTTGACTGAAGTAATGTATCCCTTATGTTAAAACAAAGAATAAAGGCTACTGGCTTCTTTTGGGATTCCCAGACTTGCCTACAACCCTGATAGCCTACCAGGTACAACATAGTTTTGATTTCAAATGAGACTGGTTAGGCACTGTCACCCAGCTTGGTTTTAAAATAGCAATGAGAGGCAACTCATTACAGTAGATATAAAGAGTCTACATAATACTCTTCAAGAAGTATACATTCGTCTTTATATAAAGAAGATATAAAACTCTGGTTACTATTTACTGCGATTTGATAAAGAAAGCTTGTTATACCACATGTATGCCGGTCACAAATCTAAAGTGATTCCTCCAGACTATTTAGGAAACGCTAGTATGTTATATTTCTACCCACTCGATAGCCAATGACTCCAAAGCCTTGTAAAACATTGTCAGAATAAAATCCCTGCATTATAGTGTCCAGTAATAGACAAGAAGCAAGATGAACTTCCTCATCTCCACTCTTAAATAATGCCCCCTCCTCTCAAAAAACAACTAGAGTTGCTGGTTTCGAGGCAGAAACTAAACTTTAATGTAGCCAAATGACAATCTAAACAGAATGCAAGCTGGCACTATCCTGTAATGAATCATAAATTTTATCAGGTTCAAACAATCTGATCACTGCACACATACGGTAGTTTTTTAAAAATCTGTTTTTTTTTTTAATTGATAACATTTTGGAATCCTGACTATTAAAAAAAAGTAAAATGATTTCTTACTTCCCATTTTAATTCCAGTAAGGCGCTGCTTGCATTCCTTTTGGAATGACATTTCGGAAAGAGATAAGCTTAGATCCCACTGTCAATTCGTTCACGTATCTGCATACCATATTTGAGTTGCTACACTGACAGTTTTAGATATTTGTCTCAAGATATATATGCTCAGAAAAGCAAATAATGCAAATCATTTCTATTAAGAAAGCATTTGTTTAATGCTTTTTTTCTTATTTCCACACTAGAGTCTCAAACTGAAACTTAAGAAATTCCAATAAGGAACCTGGAATTGTTTCAATATGGCAAAGGAACCTTAACTCAATATTCACATTTGGACAAGTCCCTCACCACAGAAGAGTCTGTGGGCTAGCTTAGGGTGCTGAGAATAGTCCATGTGATATAATTGGGTATGTCCTTCTACAGTGGGAACATCAGGAAGATGTTAAGAGGAAGAATCAGTAACCTGCCTTACAGCATTTGATACTTGAGGTCCTTTGTTCACGTTGAGTAATGCTAGGGATGGCTGTAGAAAATATCACAACTTTACAGGAATAAAGTAGCACAGACATGTGGTATAATAGTCTAACAGCACAAAGTATCTAATGGATACTTTGATCATAAAGTATCCTAATTTCTGCTGGGAAAAAAAATCCCTTTGTTATAATGAAAATCCTTTACCAATCCTGCCTTCTTTTAAACTATTGAAAAATATATATAATTATGGCTAATACTTCTATTCCAAGCTAATTTTCTATATATGAAAAACTATTCTGATGCAATAATTAGATTCATTGCATCTGTGCCAGATAATAAGCTGATTGTGTTAAACTTTGGGTTGATCTAATGATTTCTTTTCTCACACATATTATAATATCACAATAGATATTAAGTATGCTTTGTGCACTACTAAATGAATGTATGTAGGAGGTTATGAATCATGAACATCGTCTACTCACAAAGCAATACTTTTTGCAATCCAACACATAATTCATGAATTAATTTACTTGTGTGAACTAAAGAAATGTAAAATTCTGAATCCTATCCAGGTAAAATTTGGCTATTACAAATTATTCTGTCCCAAAATCCTGTTTCTCACAATATTACAGAACAGTGTGCTCAAAAGTCAATATTCAAAACCAAATTGGGAAGACAATAAATTACACAAGACCACAAGTGAGAAGCACTTTACTATAGCTTGTGAAATGCTGAGTATATTCAAGACAGAATATGCCAAACCCAGAATCAATTAGTTGATCAATGAATTTTGCATCCAAATTTGTTCGTAAGGCTCCCTCCCTTCACAGGTGGAATTACTTTTTTCAGCAAGAAAAACACCAACTTCCATGTATGACTTTTGAGTTTTCTGCAAGCACACAAGATGCAAATGCTAATCCACAGGTCTTTCCTTCCTTCCTTCCTTCCTTCCTTCCTTCCTTCCTTCCTTCCTTCCTTCCTTCCTTCCTTCTTTCCTTCCTATGAGCCAGCACTTTGATTGTGTTACCAATCTTAGAGGGGAGCTATTATTATTTAGAAATTTGAGCAATTTAACCAAATACCTTATTAAGTAGTTATATGTTGCAATTATTTCAAGGTGGATGCTCCCAATCTCCTCAAATATTCCAAATGGGTTCAGAACTTCAAAAAGGCTATTTAACAATTTTAAAAGGTGCCATCAATCATAATAGTTTTTAAAATAGCCAGAGTTTTACCTGCCAAGGCATCTTGATAAAGTTGCACAAAGTGGTTAAAAATATCCTTGGGTAAGCATTTTTCATCAGGTAAACATTGGAGAAGAATTACTATTTCTGATTGGCCTACTGCATGCATTCCCTTTGTAGTAAAGCACCAGCATTTCCTGTTCACATCTGCACAAAAAAAAGAAAAAAAGATTTTAAAGTATTAAGTGAATTCACACACTATAGGATGCTGTTTATCAAAATAAATATTTTATAGCTATTATCCATAAGAGGTATCTATGAGGATCAGGAACACTGCACTGGATGGTAGGAAATTTTTTACTTACAATGTTTATGAATTGTCCTAGTTAAGACTTTGAGCGATGTATAATATAAATACAGAATAAAAACCACCAGCACAATAATGAATAACATATATATTTAACTCTTCTTTCATCTCTTTTTTTTCTAATTAAAGTATTTTTAAAAGGAAACTTGCAAAGTGCTACATACTGTAATATTGCATTCTAACCCAAAGTCATATCTTCTACAGCAACCGTTAAAAATTAGATGAAATTTTATCACATGTAATCAATTTACACATTTGATGATAGAAATGTAATTTTAACAATTTCATTATTATTCAGAACATTAAATGGAGTCTTCTCTATTACATTATTGTCATTTTCCTGAGTCAAGAAATCGATATTACCAATATAAGCAGACCCTTAAAATTTCTAAATGTGTCCCCAACCTCCACCTCCCCCAAGAATCCTACAAACGTTTTCTGAACTCAGCAAACAGTACCTACTAAGACCCTGCCCACTGTTAATGAATAACTGTTTGCTAGCAGAAATGTAACAGAATATAATTGTACTTAATAGATAAGATATTCAGAATCTACTCAAAATAACTGGGACTTACAATTTACAATTTTAACCATAGACAATAAATTTGCATTTAAAACAAATACAAGAGGATCAGGGCCACCATCTTCCAGCTGTTGCATCACTGATATGTGAGATGGTTTTTCTTCTACAGTATAATCTAAAACAAAGGAAGATTATATATCAAAAATATACAAGGTTTTATGTACAAGAAAATCTATGATGTTAGAACCATAGTATTAGAAATAGAAATTCAGGCTATCAAATTCAACTCCATCCTCTGGGTGAGGAATTCAAATTAAAGCATCTGTACCAAATGTCTATCCAGGTTTTCCTGAACAAGGTCATTTGGAATTTCTTCCCAACACTTGATTGAAATCTGCCTTTCTGTAAGCTCTTTTCTTTTTCTCCTGTTGTTTATATGACCCTATTGGGTGTGCACTAGTGGAGATTTGGAGTATGTCTCTTCAATAAACACTTTCTTTTTTTATAAAAACATCAAATTAACATTATATTTATGTTATTGCAATAAACTTTGTGTTGGACTATCCTTGTACTAGAATAGAATTTAGATAGAAGTAGCATAACTTGAGACTGGTCATTTGGGACTCAAGTGAGAATTATGGGTTGATGTGTTTGATGATCCATCACTTTGTTTTCTTGGTTGTCCACACTGCTTTCAGGAGTCGCCAATATCAAAGTTCAAAGGCATCAATATTCTTCCTATTCTGCTTTTTTAAATTCCAACTTTTGCTGTTTGCTGAATGGCGGATTAAGACTGGAACATACAGAACGTAACAGTCTTGAAACAAATGTGCAGTCTACCTATTAGCTGTTCTATCACATTTAAGCTTTTGCAAGTTATGAAAAACTTTAGTGCTAGATTATACCTGGAATAATTCTCTTTATCTTTAGATCTCTTTAGAAAGTCTCCTCAGGAAGGCTTCCTGATTCTATCACGACCTATACATAGTCAGCTGCTGATTTTGCAGAAGGGAACCTTCTCTATGAGAATACTCTCCCACCTGGGAGTCATGAAGTATAACTATGATGATTTTAAATATGTATGCATACTTTAAACTGTTTAATTAATGCATTTTTAGTTTTAATTTAAAACTCTCCTACAACATTGACATGGAAAACATAAATAGATGACATTTCTAACATGTCTGAATCTGAAAAACTATGATGAGCAAAACCCCAAGAGCTATGAAAACAATATGTTTGAGGAGTACTAGAATAATTTAAACAATTATAGGTTATCACAGAAATTGGTGCTATGCTGATTAACAAATATATCTTTTCTTGCAATTATCTTATTTTTTATACTCAATGAACATTTCCTTAATCTCCATTGAGTTCTAGTACATTAACCAATATAGTGCTACCACAGAACTCCCACTTGAATAAAACAAATAACAACACCTCATTAGGAATAACCTTATCCACCACTAATTAAAAGACAATCTGAGTTTGAAGAAAGTTCTGCATTATAGTATTAAGTTCCATTCTATATAATATTGCATCTTTCATTTACACACTAGCATTCATCACTCACCTCCTTTTACTCCAGTAGAGATGAGAATTGGAGGAAGCCCGTCTTCTGGAATAAGATTCATTGCACTGCCAACTGGACTTCCAACCTGAGTTATATTTCTTGAAAATGAAAGTGTGTTTTCAGTCTACAAGATATAACAAAAAACATTTGATGTATATTTAGTCACGCCTTAATCACCTCACATTATGACTGGACCTGCCCTTGAAGACCACTCAAAACTGGTCCAGAATGCAAAGTGCAGGCAGGGATGAGCATGCCTTAATATGCCCATGTGATAGCTCCAACAAGTTAGGCTGGTTATCTGTATGCTTCCAGGTGCAATCAAGGTTTTGGTCATAACCTATAAAACCTTATTTTCAGAGGGCCTGGTTACTTGAAGGATCATCTATGTTCCATGGTATCAGTCTGATCTGTTCGATCCAAGAGTTGGAACCCTTCACGTCCCTTTAATTAAACAATGTCATCTATCGAGGGCCCAGATACATACCTTCTTTGTCATCTTGCTTGCGCTCTGGAACAAGATTCAACCTGATATTTATGTAACTCCCACCTTGCTGGCATTCTGAAATGCCTTTTTCCCCCAGACCTTGGATAAGGATTCTTTGGGCCTGTGTGTGTGGGTATAGCATAGCTAATCAGATCCATCGTCATTTTTTGTTGGATGTTTTTATAATTACAGTATTCTGTTTTTATTCTGTTGGTTTTATTGAATGTTGCCCAGAGTCAATTGGAATTTGGTGATGTCTATATCAAATAATTTAAATTAAGTAAAATTTAATCTGATCTTCACTTTACAAACGAAAGGTACAAAAAGTGCAGTAAGATCTTATGTAAGAGAATCAAGACAACTAGTATTCATATATATCTATAATCTGATAAAGCAGCGGTTGTCAACCTGGGGTCGTGACCCCTTTGGGGGTTGAACGGCCATTTCACAGGGGTCGCCAAAGCCCTCTCTCGCCCCCCCCCCATGCCTTCACTCACTCTCACCCTCTGCCTCTGTTGGATCGCCCGGTCGCCGTTCGCTTACCCCGCCCACTCCCAATCTATTGCTGCCTCCGGAGTCCCAGCTGGTGGCTAGAGGGAAAAAAAACTTTAAATTCTTGCCACGGGGCTTCAAAGAGCTAGCTGCAAAGAGGTAAATTCCTGGAGCAATTTTTTTTCCCCCTACCTATGCTGAAAAGCGAAATTGAAACTAAAGAAGGGTCTTTTCTGCAACGTGACAAAATGAGGCAGAGAGATTTCTTTTTCTTTTTCCTCACCAAAAAAGGTAGGTGCAAAACTGCAAACAATGGGAAATTTAGGGCAAGATTTTAGGGCAAGATTTTAAAACACAAAAGAAAAAAAGCTCTATTTAGGGAATTGTAATAATTGAGATACTATTAATTGTATATTGTGTTGAAAGCAGAAATGGTTGTGGTTTGGAGGAATATATGGGGAAAATTATTTGGTTTATTAGTATTGGTAAATATAATTAATTGATTTGTAAGAAATTGGATTGCATGGAAATAATTGGAATATTCATGTTCATATTGATTAATATACAAAAAAGATAGTTATATAACTAATTGATGTATATTAAAATGTTGAATTTGTATTAAACAACTGTATTACATAATTAACCAATGTGAGGATGGATATAAAAATAGATGACAATGGGAAGGGGTATAATATAGAATAGAAGGAAAAAATTGAATTTGATTAAGATTAGAGATGAGGATGAAGGGTAATATTGGTTTTTTAAAAAAATAGATGAGGAATAAATATGGTAAAAAGGAAATATAGAAATTGAAAATTTAATTGAAGTGACTAAATACTGTGTTGGAAGAAATATCCTTCTGGGTTCTGCTCCAAGTGGGGCAAAAGACACTGGAAACATGGAGACTGCCTGGAAAGATGGTTTAATGGTGGACAGGATCACATGGCTTGATGGGGCCCATTTTGTTAGTTTCTGTTGCTATTGTGTTGCAAATGTCCTTTGACAAAGGATTGACTTTCTGCCTCTGGCCCATTAACAAAGGGTGGGGGGCAGGAAGGTGGGAGCTGCTTTGTCTGTAAAATGTGCTTCTCCATTTCTCATCCAGGGAAATATAATATTCTGCCTTTTTAATATTTCCCAAAATATTTCATTCTTCTAGGAAAGGGGTGGGTGCTAACTTCCTACAACTGTTTAAATTTGTGAACCGGCCAAATACTCTGTTCAAAGAAAATACGTTGTATGTTTATATGTGTGTTTCTAATTATTGCTATTTATTGCTATTTGTTCTCTTTTATTCTTTAAAGTTTAACAATTCATTCTTTATCTTAATATCTTAATATTTGTTTGGGTTTGGCTTTCTTCCCTTTCATCTTTTTTATTGTACAGCAATCTTTCTCCTCAAACCTACCACCTCTGTCTTTTCTTTCTTTCTTACTTTCTCTTCCCCCCTCTTCTTCTTCTCCCTACTTCCTCTTTCTTTCTCCTTCTCCTCCTCTCTTCCTCCCTCTCTTACCTTCACTCCTCCTCTAATTTCCCTTCCCTTCCTTCATCCCTCTCCATTGCTGTATCCTTTTATGCATATGGACTACTCAGAGGGCTGAAAAAGTTATTTTTGACTGGTCCTCCCACTTTTGACCAGTCCTCGAACTTACGACTGTTCTCACAATTTATGTTTTTGCCCTATCTTGTCACCATGGTGAAGAGAAGCAGTTGTGAAATGAGTGACACAGTTGTTAAGAATGGTACAATGGGCATAAATGATGACCAGTCATAACTGCGAAGACCGGTCAAAAGTGCGAGGACCTGTCAGAAATCACTTTTTTCAGCCCTCTGGGTAGTCCTTTTGTGCACAGGGATTACTCAAAGGGCTGAAAAAGTTATTTTTGACTGGTCCTCGCACTTTTGACCAGTCCTCGAATTTACGACTGTCCTCACATTTTACGTTTTTTTGCCCTATTTTATACCATGTTGAAGAGAAGCAGTTGTGAAATGAGTGACATGGTTGTTAAGAATGCTGCACAGGCATAAATGTAAGGATGGTCATAAGTGTGAGGACCAGTCAAAAGTGCGAGGACCTGTCAGAAATGACTTTTTTCAGCCCTCTGAGTAGTCCCTATACACATAGCCATGGCCATCCGGTCACATGACCAGCTAGCCACGCCCACCCAGTCACACGACCTCCAAGCCACGCCCACAAAATAAGCCACGCCCACAGAACTGGTAGTAAAAAAAAATTTAGAACCCACCCCTGGTTGGGGGTCACCACAACATGAGGAACTGTATTAAAGGGTCGCGGCATTAGGAAGGTTGAGAACCACTGTGATAGAGAATCATCTTCCTTATACATGGATGCAAAAACAATTTATTTTTACAATATATACAAAACATGAGTTAGAGCTCCCATGAAAGTTAAACTGAAAGAATGGAAGTCATTTTCTTTAATTTCTCATTCCCATCTGTTTCAATTCTACCAAGATTGAATGGCTGTGACTGAATTGACCACCCAGATCTGGGGATATTCCATCGTTCACCATGGATGAAGTAGCACTTCTCCCTTCAAGGATGATATGCAATCTGGGGGACTTCTGGGACTCACAATTCCTGCTTCACAAGCAGCCAGTAGCAAGGAAAACCTTTGCACAACTCCATCTGGTGTACCAGCTGTCCCGTTTCCTAGATCAGGGATCACTCATCCTCTAGTCAGCTCAGGGTTTGACAACTCAATGTGCTTTACATGGGGCTACCTTGAAGACCACCCAAAAACTTCAACTGTTCTAGAATACAATGGCACAAACAGTAATGGACATGCCTCTGTATGTCTATGTAACACCTCTGTTTTGCAAGCTGCACCACTTGTTGGTTTGCTTCTTGCTGCAATTTAAGGTGCCAGTTACTACTCCCACATGGCATAAGGCCTGGCTATTTGAGTAATTACCTGTCTCCCATAACATCTACCCAGCTGATTCAATCATGCAGAGTTGGCACACTCCAGGTTCCTTCAATTAAACAATGTCATTTATAAAGATACTGGAAGCACAACTTCTTGGCCTTTACCTTCTATTGTTTAAAAGAACCACAAAGACATAGCTCTTCACTCAGGCCTTTCACACCTCTCACTCCATCGTGCTTGTCATCTTCTTTTAGTATTATCTTTTATCCTTCATTGATTTGTTATAAGCCGCCCAGAATCACCAAGAGCTATGCAGCCTTTTTTATTATTACTATTTTTATTGCTGTTGTCATCTCCCATGCTGCTCAGGTGTGCTCAAGTTACATACTATTAACCATGTTTGGGGTGGGGGGATTTTAGGGGGGGGGTGCTTTCCAGTCTAGAAGACAACAGTCTGTCTCTAGTCTAGTATCTTAACCACTACATCACATTGGCTCTATGCTGTATATAAGGAAATCTAATGCATTCTCTTTCCCATGCCATTTGAATAGCACAATATAACATATAATAAAGAAGGGCAGTCATTCACCTCTTCCGGCAAAGTGTTGTTGCTTATGGGCTTTCTTGGATCATGTGAAACTGCAAGTGCTCCAGTGGAACTTGTTCCAGACACTGTTAATTTGGCTGCATCAGCAACTTCACCATTGGGTAAGATCCCATCAGCAAACCAAACACGTCTTTGTTCTCTAGGCTGACTCACTACAGAGAAAGATGAGATTAGCTTTATGAAAGAAATACACGCACAAGGAGAAATGAAGCTACCGTATTTTTCAGAGTATAAGACGCACCTTTTCCCCCCCTAAAAGAGACTGAAAATTTGTGTGCGTCTTATACGAATGTAGCTTTTTCGAAGCTTTTTTTTCAGTCCTAACGAGGTGTTAACAAGGCACTAGGGACCGATCTTCCCAGCTTTGCCTGCTCTGAGAGGTGCTAGTGAGTGATCTCCATGCTTTGCTCCGACTCTCAGCTGTTCTTTAGAAGCTTTTTTTCAGCCCTAACTAGGCGTTAGCCAAGTGAAGCAATCTCCCCGCCCCCTTTGCCTGCTTTTCTCATTGCTGCTTCCTCTCAGCTGTGCCTTAGAAGCTGTTTTTTATCTCCAAGCAGGGGATAAAAAACCAGCAAACTAATGTGCTGAAGCTGACCAGACTAAGGACACTAGCCAGATGAATACCTACTGGGAATAATTTTTTTTTCCTATTTTCCTCCCCAAAAACTAAGCTGCGTTTTATATTCCGGTGTGTCTTATACTCCAAAAAATACGGTAAGTGCAAAACAATGATACAGAAATATATTTTCTAATGCAATCTGAATAATATTTGTAAGTGTTCCAAGACACAATTAATCAAACATCACAAGTTTGAATTGCACCCCAGGTACGTTATGCAGATATGTTTTCATTATCACTCACACATATGTAAGATGACTATACAACTCCATGAGATCAGTCGTCACCTAGATTTCATGGTTTAAAGAAGAGGCATAATTATTTGCTGAGAAAACTCATAATCCAAGGTTAGCTTGAAATCAGATATTTTTGGCCTAAGCTAAATTTTATGAGGTGATTAAAATTAATAACAGGACTGACTAGGGAGGCATACATTGTCAAGGATCTGTACCTTCAGTACCCGGATGCTTTAAGACTCCCACTGGGACCATAACAGTAGGTGGTGGAGAATTCAGCACTCCAGAAGCCTGGACTTGCTGCAAGGGAGGAATGGTAGAACAGTATTCAGCAGGATTGTTAGGATTGGGGCTCGGACTAGGGGCACTCAGCAAATTCTCCAGGCTTTGAGCTAAGAAAAGATAAAAATACAAAAAGGTAACTTTTATCATGTAATAATAATTATTGATGAAATTTAACAGGTCATTGTTTTGCTTTTATTAGAAATACAGAGATATGTTAGCCTAACAAAATATGAACTCATTAGCCATAGGAACTAAAGTTAAGGCAAACAAATCAAGGAAGTTAATTAAAGGAATTAAGTATTTCAGATTACCATTATGGAATCATTAGCACCATGAAACTAGGATCACAGAGCCAAGGCTATTAATAACAGATTTTTAACAGCAATTTTGCTAGATTTTTCAAACAACATTTGCTGAATTATGATTAAAATTGTCCTTATATAGTAAAGATTGTTACAAGATTTTTTTTTCAATATTTATACAGAGAAGCCAGAAATCCAGAAGCTGATAGAGCAGAGGAGCAGAACCTGAGATGGGACGACACTAAAAATTGCATTAAGTATACACAGTTATTAAGTATACACAGAGAATATTCCACAGACTGGAAGCTACCATAGAGAGGGTGTGCTATTTCATCTCTATTTCAGGTCCCTCAAATTTCAGAAGGCATTCTATAGATGAGTAGATTTGGTTATGGTCTGGCATTGCCTGATATAGTCCAATACCATGTTAATAGTGACAGGAAACAACTAGAATTTTGAACAGAATTTACAACCTACTGGCAATAAACATAGCAACTTAATATTATAGGTGTAATATATAGGTGTAATTCAACAGTGTTTGTAGGAGTTTGGCTGCCTCATTTAATACCAGCTGTAGCTAACTTCCAGATGATCTCCTGAGGCAGCCCCACATACAGCACACTGCAGTAATCCAATCAGGTGGGCATTAGCGCATGCATGACTGATATCAGCTTAAGTGTCATTTTGTTTTAACTTAATGAATGAATTAATATGAAATGAACTATGCTATGCACATTTAAATGTTTATCTTTTAAAACTTACAAAACCATATTTGAGGAGATCTAGAAACTTCAGCTACAAGTTTAGAGAGTCAAAATAGCAGTACCTGGCCTTCAGAATATGTACTTTGTGATAAATATTTTTCATGCTTGACAAATGTGGAAGATCTTTCATTTAGCAAGTCAAAGTAGATTTCTACAACTGACAGCTGGATCTGTAAATATGTGGATCCAATCCATTTTATTGTAGGCCAACATATATGACAAGCGCTATAGAAAATACATACCCATTGCACTATTCCTTTTCTGGGTAAGCACCGTTATGGAAAGTGCAGAAAATGAATGAGAAGCAATGAGCAAAATAAGTTGAAGGTAGGAGAGAAAAGAAAAGCAAATAAAGCTAAATCTAGCTTTCACCACAACCATTTAATATATCTCTCCATGCCTTCCCATGCATGCAAAATATCTTGGCTTCTACTATGTCTATATATTTTCTGTACTGCATTTTGTTTTTAAACTTCCCATCTTTTTCTTTCTGAGGAACTTCAACCAACTACACCTTTCTCAGTCTTTTCTCAACTCATTCACTTTTGCTTTTTCTTGTGTGGTTGTGTGATGTGATCTTCATTTATCACTGGGTGATCATTTACCCTTATATTCAATCCAAATTCATTGAATACCCATTCAGTTTTGATCACGTTTTCTTGTTTTACCATACATACTTCTTAACTATGCCATTTTCACCTATTTTGACAAAAATCTTTTCATGACAACACACTACACACTAGCCACTCTTTATTTCTATCCTTTATGCTACATATCAGTTTCAGACACTGGTAAGTACTCTCGTAATTCAATAGTGCATACTAGACACTAGAATTATTACTGCTATAATTCTGAAAATAGCTTTCTTATTAAAATTATGTTCAATATGAAAATAAATTACATTGGACTGCACAACAGCCCTCACTTATACATTAGAAACGCTCCATTAACCACAAACTTATGAAACTTGAGTATTGTTTCAAGTATATTACTTACCATTCATAAGTACCGAATGGCAAATTACACATACTCTGGCTTCCTTTCTATCCATATATAGCAATTTGCATTTCAGACTACAGCACGCTGCACAGAAAACCTTAAGTAAAATAAGAAAAATATATTTACATTACATATAACTAAAATCATTTGGACAGAACTATCTATCTGTATTTCCAACACAAGCATGTTCTAGTTTTTTTCTATAGAATAAAACAAAATTGCTTAATGATCATGTAAAAAGTCATTATATATTACATTATACATTATATATATTATACCTTATACATGTTTTAGACTGAACAATTTTCTAACAAAATTTTCCCCCATAGCAATAACTCAAATCAGATTAAAAAATAATGATCGGCCCAAACTCTTTCACAAGCTTTTGTAACAGAGAATTGACTTGCTCTTGAAACGGCGGTCTTAAACAAAGCTTTTCATTCAATTGTATTCTTTGAGAAAATATTTTTAAAACAGACTATCATCATATGGTATGATGTGGAATGAACTGCCTGTGGAATGAACTGCCCTCGGAAATACGTAAGATCTCCGACTTCCGGGTATTTCGCTGTGCACTGAAGACCCTGTTGTTCCGCCAGGCCGGGCTATCAACATAATAATTTTAAATTGGGGTATTTTAAATTTCTGGGGTTTTAAATTGAGCCGAATTTATTTAATAATTTTAAATTTTAATTGATGTTTGTCTTGTGTTTTTAAATAGGCTGTACACCGCCCTGAGTCCTTCGGGAGAAGGGCGGTATAGAAATAAAATTATACTATACTATACTATATATTGTTGACTTGAAATAAACTTGAAAAATTAAGTTGAAAAACTAACTGCCAATTCAGTCTTGTTTGCTGCCATTACCCCAGGATCACACAAGCTGTTAGGTGAGGGCCTCACTTTATCACAATGTGGAAACAAGTGGGAGTCCCAGGCAAGAAGGCCAACAGGCAAGAGCAGTAGAACAGGTGATTAAGAACCATCAGTGGGCACCATGGGCAGGTGCTACAGAGGCACGTTTACCTGCTTAGGAGTACAGACAGGTGGGTGGATGCATGGGTGTGTGAAAAGATGGCTGGACTAATAGGCATGACTTGTGATTTCCTGTCAGCTTCCCTATTAACTTTGCTTATGGGAAATCAGCAGAGAAAGTAACAAATGGCAATCAAACGATTGCAGCATAGGGTGTTGCAACTATCATAATTGTGGACTGGTTGCCAAGTGCCCCTATTGTAATCACATGATAGCAGGAAAAATGCAATGGCTGCAACTTTGAGGAATGGTCATAAATCCTGCTCATTCAGTGCTTTTGTAACTTTGAACAGTCACTGAATAGCCGTAACCAGAGGACTACCTACCTATACCAACGCAAATAAATATCATATTAAAGAAATTGGGCATATTTTTTTTAAAAAAAGTAATTACCTATATTAGTCATTAGTTTTCTTTCAGCAATTTGAATACAATGTATTGTTGAAAATAACATCAAAAACATTCAGAAAACCCGAATCCTAAAATTGGCTATTGTAACTCTAGGCTTCTCATTATTTATAAGATTTTCCAATTAAACATAAGCCTACCTTTCCACAGGCTCTGCAATGGTGCCTTCTTTTAGTGAATGTAAATCTGGCCTCACATTTCATACAGTTTGGTGCTTGAGAATCTGGGACCCAAACTGGAGCGACTTCACCCAAAGTAGTAAATGGCTTTCTTGTATGAACACCCGACTGGCTGGCTCCAAGATCATTGTCAGGGCTATCTGAGGCTGTTGCAAGGCACAAACTATTGGAAACCACAGAATCATAGTCATCTGCATGCTCGCCACTGGCATCTGTGACCAGAGCATTCTGTACTGTTTCATCGGTATATATATTTGTTGCTACATTTTCGCTTGTTTTTATTTTTTCACTTACATCGTTTTTATTTTTAATATTCCCACCAGAGTTTGGAGGAACCAAGTCATTTTGTAAATGATCCAATAATGGCTTTGGAATCTGTAGTGTAAGATTTGTAGGCTGTTTTGGTCGGGCACCACCAAAAGGAATACTGAGAGATTGTAAATGAGCTGCTGATTTTACTGACGCTTCAGTTGATTCAGAGGGAATCTGACTGCAGAGATTATGCAAGCATTTTTTTCTCATTTGGTCACCGGAGCAGTTCGAAGTGAGTCCACTTCTTTCTGTGGCTTCATTTCCTCTTTGTTCATAAACATTACTATAGCATTCTGATTTGCTCTCTTCTATCTCTTTTTCCTCCGTTACAGAGTCTTCCTTGGAGGGCAAAGTCTTTGGAATATGAGCAATAACTGAGTTCTGTATTCCATAGGAATCACAATAATTGGGCAGCCCACTTGACAATAATGTCCCAGTGACATCAGTTGGACTGGAATTTTCAAGCTCATTTATAGATGACCCTTTTAAATCAGTGTCTATTTCTAAAATGCCATCACTGTTACCTGCACTGATATTACATATTTGCTGCTGTGCTTCATTTTCTGTGTTTATTTGTTCTCCCATCTCATTTTGTGGAGTCAGTTCTTCATTTGTCATCTCTTGACAGTCTGATGAATAAGCAGCTGTGCTGGATAGTTTTTTATCATATTTGCCAGCTTCATTTTCAATAGCAGTAACATCTTGAGAGATCAAATATCCACCAGAAGGTTCACAATCATAGCCACTTCCTAGTACATTCAATTTACATGTCGTAGACAACTCAGCTATCCCTGATTGAACTTTTGAGGCTATCTGCTCTGTTACGGAAGTCTTAAAGGAAAAGCTATCATTGTGTGTATTAGGTGAAGAACTTTTGGTTTCCAGTTCTGTTTTCTGAACAACTACATCAGTGTTTAAATCTTCAACTGATGCATTTTGTTCTTGCACTTTAATGCTTGGGTCAAATGGCCTCTGAAAAGGAATTATAATCCCCGATGCAGTAGTTTGTGAGAAGTGATTATCTTTATTTGCATTATCATTATTCTCCTTTAACAAAGAAGAGTCACCGTATGAACAATTTGAAGAAGCAGCAGCAGCAATATCATGGTTAATAGAATCTTCACTTGCATTCAGACTTGTTGCTAGTACTGGTTCTTTTTCAGTATCTGTATCTTTTTCAACAGACCCATTTACAGTAATATGAAGATGATTGGTTTGTTGGACTTCATTATCCAGTGTAAAGCTAACAGTATCCATTGAAGGGGGGGCTGCTATAACTTTTACAACCCAGCAAATCATTTTGTAATGCTTTTTTGTCACAGTTATGCATGACTGCTACAACTAGAACATTTTGTTCTTCGGGTAAACAGTCTATACTGCCACATTTTTTTCCTTCATCATCAGCAGAGTGACACTGAATATTTTGATTGCTATTTCTCATAACCAACTGATCATCTGTTGTTGCCTGGTCATCAATCCACATGTTTGTGTTTTCTTGGCTCATATTAGGATTTTGGCCATTAAAACAGTAAGCCCCTCCTCCTATAGATGTAGTGGCTATATGTGATAGGGAAAAGGATTTCAATTTCTCTGGACACTTAGAAAGGGTTGATTCATTTACATTGGCTAGAGCTGGGTTCAAAGTCAGCCGTTGAGAAGGAGGATCTAGGATCTGACTCCACTTTGCTTCCAACAATGTAGGTGAAATAGCTTCATCTAAAAAAAATATAAAACATTGGCTGAAATCAATTTGCGTTAAATTGAATGCAGACACTAAAATTTACAAAATAGAATAGAAATAAATAGAACTAAAAAATGGAAATAAAAACACGGTTACCATAATAACAAGAGTTGGAAGGGACCATGGAGGTCTTCTAGTCCAACCCCCTGCTGAGACAGGAAATCCTATACCATTTATCTGAAATGGTATAGGATTTTTTGTCTGAGCAGGGGGTTGGATTAGAAGACCTCCATGGTCCCTTCCAACTCTGTTATTCTGTTCTATTAAATAACTTGTACACATTTATCTTGTTTTACATCGAAGATACACAACTTTCCTTTTGATCAAAGCAACAGAACAATACTAGAAATAAATAAATTTCAGCAGTTAAAATTGAAATTAAAATTAAGTTAAAATTCATTTTTTCACAAAATCTTTCATTCTTTTATTTCATTAACAAAATGTCTTCCAAAGGCATTATAAAGATTGGAATAGTAGTTGCTGAATTCTACACATCTGGAAAAAAGGTAGTGAGCTATGCTACTTTCATCCATATAACTATCTTTAATGACATAGTAAATGTAAAGACGGAAGCAGCAAAAGATGCATCTGATCAAATAGTTCTGCTTTCCCATTTTCTAACAGTTCTCCTTATAATATGTATCTTTTCAAGCTGCTGTTGGGCTCTCTATTACTCTCATACATAGCCATTAGAAACAGAGTGTGTTTGTGTTTGGATGGAAAACCTTTAACATTACAACAAAAAGAAAATAAATCAATTGGCTCGTGTTAAAACACAGCTTTCACATTCCAATTACTAACCATTTCCACTCCATTACTCTATGTCAGGGATAGGGAACAATGGCCCCTTTACAATTTGTGAACTTTGACTCCCAGAATTCCTGAGCTAGCCATGTTCAAGAATTCTGGGAGCCATGCTGGTTCAGGAATTCTGGGAGTCGAAGTCCACAGGTCATTAAGGGGCCATCGTTCCCCAACCCCTACTCTATAAGATACACTGAGAGCTTATGCACCGAAGACAAATTCCTTGTATGTCCAATCACACTGGGCCAATAAAGAATTCCATTCCATTCCATTTGATCAATGTCTGGTATGATCTATCAAGATTTAAATTATTTGTTTGCTTAGTAGTTCTGAAGTTACAAACCTCCATGTAAGGGAGTTGAACATAAAAGAATACAAAGGAATACGAAGATATAAAGGATATACCACAAAGTTATTATATCTGTAAAATTACCATTCCTATTCACCTCAAGTTCTTTATTACAGAGAAACTCACAACAGCTTAAATTATTCTGATTTTAATGTTGATTATATTGATTATATTGTACATGGTCCAGAGCTCCTCTCTGAGCGAGATGAATAGCTAAGAAATGTGATAAATAAATAAATAAATAAACAAACAAACAACTAATACATAAATAAATGAATTGATGAATGAATGAATGAATGAATGAATGAATGAATGAATAAATGAATGATGGATGGATGGATGGATGGATGGATGGATAGACAGATGAATTTGTTAAAGTGCTTTTTAAATCCTATTTCTCCTAAGACAATTTTAAGATCACCAAAATCTTTTTAAACAGTCACAAAACCAATGGTTTATAACCATAATTATAGCACATGAAAACTGCAATTTCAAACGAAAATGGAAACCATTTACAGAAAAATAATCCGGAAAATATGAACTATGAAGGCCTCCTGCTGAGATACAAAAATGGGAAGCAGCTCCAACTCAGCTATGTATAAGACAAAAAGCCTAAATCAATCACAGCTAATTAGGAATTTAAACTTAAAATGCCCTGTGAAACATTAATATATCTTGGTGCTATGTAAACATCCAGAACACTGCTAATGCTTTGTATCTTTGCTTAATAGTAAAAACACATATACACTTATTTTAACAATGATGTTTTCTTATTTTCTACGCATGTGAGTTGTTCCTATCTTTTGTTCCTATCTTTTGAATATTTCTAAGCAATATAGTTAGTAACTAACTATTCTCAAAGAGATTAAAGGGTCTACTGAGCCCAAATAACTGTAATTTGAAGGACCTCAATAGAAGATTGCTAACATTGAGCATATACAATAAAAGCAAGAATATCGCAACCACTATTTCCATCAAATGATTTTTTAAAACAGACAAAAATTTTAAATATCACAACTATTCTTTGCTTTTATTCTGGGAGCTAAATGAAGGACCAATGCAAACAAAAGGAATTGATAGAAGCCTTAAGCCCTTATGCCTAAAACTGGCATGCATGTCCCATCAAATTGCTTCCTATGGGTCTCCAAACCCTTGACATCATAGCTTCCCCATACAAAACAATTTCTACAATTTTATCTAGTTATATAATTCAAAGAGATTGCCACAAGGAGGAAAAAGAAGGGAGGTCCACTGATACGAGATCTACTGTATTTTTCAGAGTATAAGATGCACCTTCCCCCCCCCAAAAGGGGGTGAATATTTGGGTGCAACTTATACACCGAATATAGCTCCGCCCATTGGCCTCTGCCTCCCAGCAATTTACCTCCTTGCAGCAAGAAGAATAAGCCCATTTCAGCTTCAGCACAGCCTAATTAGCACAAGTTGATTGTCCCTTGGATCGGCCTCCCGACTCTCAGCTGTTTCAGGCTGTAGGGATTGCCATTGCCTATTGCTGCATGGGCCTCTGCTGCTTGCTGCAAGGAGATTGCAGCAAGCAAATTGCTGGGAGGCAGATTTTTTTTTCTTGTGCTAATCAAGCTATGCTGAAAATGAAAATGAAAATAAAGCAGGATATTTGCTGTTTGCTGCAATGAGGCAAAATTGCTGGGAGGCAGAGGCAGATTTCTTTTTCTTGTTTTCCTCACCTAAAAAGGTAGGTGCATCTTATAGTCCAGAGCGTCTTATACTCCGAAAAATACGGTAATATGCAAACTTACGAAGATTCTTATCTTATCATGAGGCAGTGGAATTAGCAATCTATGATCATAAATGCTAATAGCAGGACATCTTTCTGTATTAGGTACACTTAAGTGAATACTTAATACTTAAGTATAATTGTAAACTTGAATAACAAGGGGAACTGGTTAGAAAGATAGTTCTTTATAGCAGAAAGTATATCCATTATCTTTGAGCTATAACCAATTAATATTTTATTTGTCCTAGTTATCAGCGAGATGCAGATTTATATAATTTTCAACTTTTCTTGTTCAGTTAATAAGGGAACACAATTCATACGAGATTAAAATTTTTAAAACAATTAAGTGTTTCTTCCTAATAAAATGTTAAGTTACCCAGTGCTGTTTTCTTTTTTATTCTCTGCAGCAAATGGACAGATGACTACAGTGGATAGTAAATACAGACAAACACCAGACCTAAATTCAGTTTATGTCTCCAGTCCTAACAAAAGTTGTTCACCTTCATTTTGTTCAAATTCATCTAAAACCTTATCAAGGTTATAAGCCTCTGTCTGGAAATAGTTCTCCATTTGGCAGGAATGTCATCCAGAATCTTGTTTGAACCTATGAAGTAGACAGTTATGAAAATTTAGGACAGTATTTGCAGATTACCAAGATCCAAATACATTTCCTTTAAATATCAAGGCATTTTTCCAACAGTTCAAAAACATCACATGATGAAATTCTATTATTGTTCATAATAACCACACCGATAGTAAAAAAAAAAAATAGTAAAAAACTTCCAGACTAAGCTATACTTAGTCTGGGAGTTTGAAAGGGAAGATATGTAGGGAAGGAAAAGATGGGAGTATATACATTTATGGGAATGAAAAGGTATGAGAGAGGGTACGAAGGGTTATCTGAGGTTATATTGCTCTCTGGCATAATAGACAAATGCATATGTGAACGAAAGATAGAGAAAATGGTCATGAGTAAATAAATTAATCAGATGACTGACAACAAAAAGAGAAGACAGAATGGTGCCCACTTGGAGATTTGGTCCCCAACTATCCTAAGTATGCAATCCTCCAATATGTCTCCTGAAATTTTACTTCCCAGCCTTTTAAACAAAATTCTCTAATACTAGTTGAATACATAAAATATAAATTTGTTTCCTAAAATTCAATTAGTTCAGTTTAGAGCCGTGTTTCCTAAATTTCAATTAGTTTAGTTTAGAGCTGGTGCAGTGGTTAGAATGCAGTATTGCAGGCTACTTCTGTTGACTGTTGCAATCTGATTCTCACTAGCTCAAGGTTGACTCAGCCTTCCATCCTTCCAAGGTTGGTAAAATGAGGACCCAGATTGTTGGGAGCAATATGCCGAATCTGTAAACCACTTAAGGAAGGCTGTAAAGCACTGTGAAGCTTTACTAGTCTAAGTGCGATTGTTATCTTCACTGCAAACTGTAATGAAAAATGCTTTCAGAGAAAATAATATTAAAGTGGTCAATTTTGAAAAATGCATCTAACTATGCTTTTATTTCACTTCACTGATTATAAAATGACTGGCAGCACACCATCACCTATGAATAATATACAAGATCAAAATCAAATATTTCCCAGGATTTTTTCAGAACCGCTAAGTAAAGCAAGTATAAAAACATTTTCAGTTTGTTATCTTTCCAATTCATTTTTAGGTGGGAATGTTAATGTTTCAGCAGTTTGTACAACAGTTTACATCACAATGTTTTTTTTTTTTTACTTTTAAGAGCTCAAGCTTGTCTCAGAGTTTCACAAGTATGATTCTGGGCAGTTCACAACAATAAAACAATAGAAACAGTAGAAAAAAAATCACAAGAGCATATAACTAATCTAAAACCATAATTAAAAATTAAATAAGACATATTCAGAGTCATATCCATTTAATATAGCCAAAGGCTCACCACTATTGCTGGACCACCAGGCATGATAGTACAGCCAAGTCTTTAAACCCTTCCTAAAGGCCAGAAGGGAAAGTGCCAATCTAAATACTGGGGGAAATGATGCTCCAAAGGGCAGGCGCCAAGGCAGAAAAGGCTCCTTTCCTGGGTCCCATCAGGGACATTCCTCAGTTGATGGGACCTGTAACATGCCTCTCCTGCTGGATCTGATGAGATAGTACAGTAGATATAACCATGGAGACACAGTATATCAAATATCCTGGTCCCATGCCATGTAAAGTTTTATAGACAATATTAGCACCTTAAATTGCTCCTGGAAGCATATTGGTAATCAATGCAGCTCACAGAGCAGAGGTGTAAAGTGCACTGCTTGAGGAGTGCATATAACTGCCTGCTCCACTGCATTTTGCACTAGATTCAGCTTCCAAGTGCTCTTCAAGGGCAACTCCATGTAAAGCATGTTACAACAATTCATCTGGGGGGCATTTTAAAATTGCTGTACAGGTTGTCCTCAATTTACAACCACATTTGGAACTATAACTTCAGTCGCTAAGTGATATGGTCATTAAGTGAGTCATTACATGACTGCACATGAGTTTACCTTTTTGCCATGGTCGTTAAGAGAATGTCACAGTTATTAAGCAATTCAAACTTCCCCCATTGACTTGGCTTGTTGGAAGTTGGCTAGGAAGATTGCAAATTGTGATCATGTAATCCCAGGAAGCTGCAACCATTGTAAATATATGCAAACTGCAAAGTGTTGCAATCGTGATCATGGGGACCCAGTGACGGTCGTAAGTGCAAAGACCAGTTGTAAGTTACTTTCTTCACCACTATTTTTAATTAAAATAATCAAGAAATGGTCATAAATCAAGGATTACCTATAAATTCTATCAAATTTAGTAAAGCTTATTTTTTAAAAGAACTCTAACGTTGACATATCAGAAAAATATCAAAGCTATAAATACATGAATTATGAAAAAATAGATCTAAAATTCCAAGGTACAATATCACTTACCATGTCTTACCTTTAATCTTATATAAGCATGAAGAAACAATTCAGGCATTGCCTATCCATCAGATATACTGCAAAGTCAGGTAGTTCAGTTGAGACTCTATGCTGTGCTTGATCCTAAGAATGAAACAGCCACCACATATAAGGTTTCATGCAGAAAACAGAAATATAGCTAATATGTCTACCATTTTAATAACCATTAAAAACAGTACAGATGCCAGTGCAAAGATCTCTCAATATATTTTGTTATAACGGTGAATAAAAATCTTACAGATCCTCTCTATAAAACTATGCAAGAAATATATGTGTTAATGAATGTACTTCACCTGCTTCACATTGGAAGATACATTCATTGTTCTGAATACTTCTAAAACAGACTTTCATAATTATAGATGACAATATATTCCATCTGGCTTTTGTAAACTGTTTCCTATATTCAAGAATAATTAATTTTTCAAATATTAGTATATACTTCAGTTAATGTAAATGACAGAATCAAAGAAACTAGAGAACAATACTTAGTGCAATGGCAAGAGTTTGCAGCAGTAGTTTGCAATGGCAAAAAACCCAACAACTGTATAGGATTAAAAAAAAAACTGAACCAAAACTTCCAAACTAATAGGAAATAACTACCGGTAATCATAAAAACTGACCAATGCCAACCTCCACTTTATTATATCGCTTATATCACTATAAGCAGAAAATCTAATCCATGTTATGATTGGCATTTGTCATTATTACTGTCATCATTTATTATACAACTATGTAAAGGTTCCTTCAGTAGGCAGAACCTTGCATTTTGAACCCCTGCTGTTCAAATAAGCTTGATTCAAGATGATTGTGTGGTCTCCACTTGTAAACTGAGTCAGGGGAAAAAGAATTTACTAAAACTGGAAGCTTGTCCAGGATCCAGTGGAACAATATGTTGAGATTCTATCTCAAAGTAAGTACTTTTACACTATCTCCCTGAAGCCAAGAGGGATTAAGAGGGAAGGGGGATGTTTCTCTCTTCTCTTGTGTCTCAGGTTCAGAGATATGTCTCCACCCGTTTCTACTGTTTCTGGATTGTCCATTTCAGTAGGTTTAGATGGATGAATGCACTATGTAACAGGTTAGGGGTTAAAATGTCAGGTTTAGGGTAAAGAGCTGAACTGCTGGGTGAATGTATAGAAGATTCCCTTTTAGGATTCCCATGTTGCATTAATTCTTCCTTAGGTACCCTGCTCATAGTTCAACAGGAACAGGTTAGGAAGTACATACATTTAGTTAGGATTTTCTTGATTTACAGAAATCAATTCTGATATACAGATTACAAGAAATAGAAGTTTCAATGCTAGAAGGCAAATATAATTTAATACAGATGATTAATGAAAACTGGACAGAGAAATCTCAATAGAGGAATGCAAGGACTAAAATGTAAAATTGAAAAAAATATGCCAGAGAAATGGGATGTTAATGGCATTAGATGTGAAGGAGTTGCATAAACTGTACATATTGAGATCCACAAATGTGAACACATTTGAAGATATTTGAGTATTTATTTTCACATTTGAAACTGAATGTTCCTGGCAAGGCAACTGAATCTGCAGTGATTAACAATTCAACAACATAAATAGCAAACAAATAATTTTTAAAAATAAAATACTCCACTAGAATAATAATAAGACAGTTGTTTTAACATGTTATTGAAAGTGTATGTACAAATACGAAAATAGACTGATACTATTTGTTGTAATTCATTAATAAGTGTACATGGAAGGGTAAACAAAAATAAGCATTATTGTGAAGGTATATTATAGTCTGTCAAGATAGGCAATCTGGATATCACTGAATTAGACTGCAGAACTTTCAGGGAGCAAAAGCATACTATTTGTGGGGAAAACGTACTCAGCCAAAACTGCAGTCTGAAAAATTCCTGAGTTATGTCTTAAACGTCATGAGAGCCGATAATAGGCAAAAACTTCATATCAGAGGGAGCAAAGGATGGCTGGAATTTTTTTTTTTTAAAAAAAATACATTATTACTAAAAAAATAACTGCAAAAGAAGGAAGCAGTTTAGGAAACCATTGTAGTTACAGGGAGTCTTCTAGGCTGCATCAATAGAAACATAATAGCAACTTCAAGAAAAGCCATCGATCCCCTTTATTCAATCTTGGTCAGACCACATCTAAAATACTACATCTAATGTTGGGCTATGCATTTTAGGAAAGATATTAACAAACTGAAGAAGATCCAGAAGAAAACAAATAGATGGAAAATGGAATGAAAGAAAAATCATTTTAGAAAGGGTTGGAGATGTGTAACATATTTTGCCTGAAGAAGCTTGGGAAGACATGATAACTTTCTTGGAGTCATCTAAAGAAGGGGCGAGCAATTCATAGTTGCTGCAGAAGAGACAACATGAAACAGTGCATTTAAATCACAAGAAAGTACATTAGATTTTAGTGGAACATCAGGAAATATTTCCTAATAAGTAAGATATGTTAAACAAGTGATAGTGTTTAAACAGAAATTATTCCTGTTTGGATTCTTACACATTAGCTTGGGTTAAATTATTTCCAATGTCTTCCTACACTTACATTCCATAATTTTAATAATTAAAGCTGATATTTATTCTCCCCAAGTATCGATGCAGGTAGCATTATCAGCATATATTAAATGGTTGTTTATGTGATGCTGTTGTTCCCTAGATGATTTTCCTGCTGTTGGTGCTACTCTTGCCAGTTGTCTAGGAGGAGTTTCCGGAAACCAGAACATATTCCTGGTTTTGGATAGTGTATATAGCACTTAAGATTCTTCCCTATAAAAAAAGCATCTCATAATCATACTTTCATTCATCTTGCCTAAACGGATGTAGATTTTGAATTTTCACAAAATATTGGTGCAAAATTGTATATAATTATTACACGCTAGCAGAGAAATAAAAGAAGTATCAAATTCAGCCAGAATTTGTTGAAAGTAATATTATTTCAATATTCAGGACATAGAAAATAAACAACTTAAAAGTATGTATAAAGTCAAGATGAATTTGCAAAACAATTTCATTTTTTAAAAACAGAACATCTTCTCTTAAGTATCATTATGACCAACTGGCCCCCATCTTCACCTGCATCTTTAATAAATCACTAGAGATGTGCTGTGTTCCTTCCTTCTTCAAATGCTCTACTATCATCCCAGTGCCGAAGAAACCCTCCATCAAGGAACTGAATGACTTCAGACTGGTTGCTCTAACATCTGTAGTTATGAAGACCTTTGAAAGACTAGTATTTAGCCACCTGAGAACCATCACGGATCCTCTGTCAGACCCCTTGCAATTTGCCTACCAAGCAAATAGATCGACAGATGATGCTGTTAATATGTCTCTGCACTACATTCTACAACAACTTGAATTTCCAAAGACCTATGCAAGGGTCCCCTTTGTAGACTTCAGCTCAGCATTCAATACCATCATTCCAGATAGTCTTCTAACTAAACTAAATCAGCTAGCTGTACCACACTTGTAAATGGATCATAAGCTTTCTAACAGACAGAAAGCAGCAGGTGAAACTAGACAAAAATCACATCAGATACCTGTACAATTAGCACAGGAGCCCCCCAGGGCTGTGTGCTCTCTCCACTTTTCTTCTCTCTATACACCAATGGCTGCATCTCAAAAGATCCCTCTATTAAAATACTGAAGTTTGCAGATGATACAATAGTGATTGGTCTCATTCAAGACAATGATGAATCTGCATACAGACGGGAGATTGAACAACTAGCCTTGGGGTGCAATCGGAACAATCTTGAGCTAAATACGCTCAAAACCTAGAAATGGTGATGGATTTTAGAAGAAAACCTCCTATACTATCACCTCTTACAATACTAGACAACACAGTATCAACAGTAGAGTCCTTCAAGTTTCTAGGTTCTATCATATCTCAAGACTTAAAATGGACACCTAACATCAAAAACATCAAAAAAGCTCAACAATGTTCTTTCTGCACAAACTCAGAAAGCTCAAACTGCCCAAAGAGCTGCTGATTCACTTCTACGGGGGAATTATTGAGTCTGTCATCTGCACCTCCATAACTGTCTGGTTTGGCTCTGCAACCAAACAAGACAAACACAGACTTCAACGGATAATTAGAACTGGGGAAAAAAAATTGCTACCAACCTGACTTCCACTGAGGATCTGTATACTTCATGAGTCAAAAAGAGGGCTGTGAAAATATCTACAGACCCCTCACATCCTGGACATAAATTGTTTCAACTTCTACCCTCAAACACACGTTATAGAGCACTGCACACCAAAACAACTAGACACAAGGACAGTTTTTTTCCCGAATGCTATCATTCTGCTTAACAACTCCCACAACACTGTCAAATAATTTACTAAAACTGTATTATTATTATAATTCTCTTCCTTACTAGTATCTATCTCTTCCCGCTTATAACCATGTTGCTTGTATCTTTCAATTATATTGTTTCCTAGTACGATTTGATAGCTTATTAGTAACCTTGACTATCACAAAGAGTTGTATCTTTTTTTATTCTTGATGAATGTATTTTATTCTCCTTATGTACACTGAGAGCATATATACCTAAGACAAATTCTTTGTGTGTCCAATCACACTTGACTAATAAAGAATTCTATTCTATATCGCTGCTCCACAAAATGCTCTTACAAGAATACCATCAAATTGGAAGGTGATAAAATGTACAAAATGCCAACATCATTCTTGAAGTTATACATATAAATGAAATATAAACAAACATTTCATTCATAGGCGACTAAATCAATAACAAAACTACACAACAATTTCAAAGCAATTTATTATTCTTTACAAACTATATCACAGCAATGACTCTTGGAAGTTAATACACTGCACTGTATGTGACAATGTGTTTTTTTTATTTTGATTGACAACTGAAAGAAAAATAATAATAGGGTATAAGCCAATAACACAAAATGAGAATTTAACATGATTGGAGGTTATATTGAAGTTCTTAGGAAGGTGTTTGTAGTGTGTTAAAAGATTACATTTTTCACAATACATGATCCAGTTTTGAGAACTTGGAAACTAATTTCAAATGAAAGGTTTGATGATGACATGAAGGAGTTGGGTGTGGACTTTGCC